GCGAGGCACCACTGTATTTAACTAGTGGTTTTACTAAGCCCACCCTCACTCCCCATGAGTTTCCATGGCTAAGTGAGGATTCAAACGCAGGTCTCTTGTGTCCTTGGCCATTATATCTACTACTACAGTGGTTCCCAACCTTTTCTGAACTGCAGACCGGTAAGTGGGCAGGGCACACACTTGCGCATGTGCAGGTGGTGGCGTGCATGCACAGGTGGACGGAGCACCTGTGTGAGTGGACAGAGTGTGCAGGGGGCGGGAGATCTGTCTCTGCAGCCTGATCCTGCCATGGACTAGCACTGGGCCATAGACTGGGGGTTGGGGACCCCTGTACTACTGGATACCTATTACTTATGTTGCCTAGCCAAAAAACAACAACCCCTTTTTGAATATTTATACCAGTATCTCGTCATTACTTGTTTTCCTAATAAGGAAGCTGGCTAGATAGCTAAGGGAGCAGAGGCTTAGAGTTCAGTTCCTCACTGTGTATCCCAGAAGAATCAGCTTGTTTCTCCTTGGGTTTCTCCAGGATGGCCCCTGAAGAAGGAAACAGCAAACCACTTCTATGTACTTTCTACCTAGAACGCTGAAAAGGGTCACCCTAAGTCAGAATTGATTTTGCAGTACACAATTATTAAATACAGTATAAGGAACCCAGATTATTAACAAACAAAAATATACTCATGTCACATGAAGCTATAGTTCACCAATAGGAACACAGAGTTTTATTGAGATAAGAAAGGCTTTCACAGAACACCTGAATTGGAGCTACTAGATGGCAGAGATTGGGAGTTCAATTCCACATTGTGCCTCAGAGACGGGACTTAATGATCCATAAAGTCCTTTCTAATTCTGCAATTCTAGGATGGTGAGCATCTAAGACACCAATTTAGGGCAAAGGAGGCTCTAACTGGGACAGTATAAAACAGTGGGCCCCAACCTTTTTGGGACTATGGACCAGCTGAGCCTCTGAGGAAGACACCCTGTGCACACTCTCTCAGGCACATGTGCGAAGCAGTGGGGGAGCACGCGCTGGTGTGAGTTCTCCCCCACCCCTTCACACATGTGCAGGAGCGCCTGCATGCCCCTGCCCAACCCTTTGCCTCAGTTGCATGCATAAAGAGGTGGGGGATTGCTTATGCTGGTGCTGGCACACATGTGCGGGAGGTCTGACTCTGTGGCCCAGTCCAGCTCAGGCCATGCCTGACCAGGCAGCGGACCAGGAGTTGATGAACCCTGGTATAAGAGGGACAACCCCCAAAGTACTTGGAATGGGGTTTTGTGAGGAGGGTGTTCTTGCAGTTTAATGCCTTCGCTAGTGGCCTAGGATTTTAGGCATTAAAAGATGTAAAAGGGTGCCTTTTATTGCCTGAGGGTGTGACCCAATTACAGTACTGTGAAAATAAGCAGAAAGATGAGCACTTCGTCAGGGAATACCTCTCTCTGTTGTGCTTTTAAAATGAAGAAATCTTGGAGTAATCAGAATTGTGTACTTCAATTTCTGGTACTCAAATTCCTGAATTAATTGTACCACACAAAGTAGATGAAGAATCCAGTTGAGGTCAGGGGGAGCAGCTTGCATAAAACAATTATTACCTTGTTTAAACAAGTCAAAACTGGCAAATAATGTAGGGTGTTTGAGCATTGTGCACCAATGTACAGTAAGTTAAATCATTTCAACCAATTTGCACAGTAGCAAGTACTTTGAAAGATCAAATTTATGCCCAGTTTTAAAGCATGGTAAATAATACTGAAATCTTCCCAAAATCTGGATGAATTCCTCTATATCTGGTCTCATGAATTTTATGGCCATTATAAACAAATTTTAAGCCCATCAAAAATGGTTAAAAGATTTTAGGCCATTTAAACATCTTAATGTAGTTATGTATCCTTTGTTATTCTATGTACTACAGCAGAATCTCACATTTATAAAATATCTATTATTGATAGCTCATATATCTATTTTTTCTGTTTCATCCCATGCATGGGAAAAATGAATTTGCTTTGTATTAAGATGGTGTTCCTGCAGGGTAGCCCTACAATTATACTTTTAAAAAGAGGGTAGCATTTGTCATAAAAAGGGCAGTGTGATCCAGTGTTTCCATTCAGTTTCCTATAAACTTAATGGATGTGATTTAGCTGTATATAATTTTAAAAAATGACACTATGCAAAAATGGTGATTTACAAGTTTAACACTGGTATTTCTGACAACTGCAAAATAATCATCATTGCACTAATATCTAATCAGCAAATAGTTCAAAAATTAACAACTAGTCATATGAAATTATACACATTATATTATGTTCTTTAAGTCATGCCATATTTCACCTTTACCAGCAATACAATATTTGAACTGTTTTGGTGCGATTATATTTTCTCAGTGCAAATAATACAATGTATTCTGACATGCAGCTGATGCGTTTAGACTATATTTGAGGCTGGGGGCCAAAAATCAGCAAAACTAGTTTTGCATGCCTAGTGATCTCTTGTGCTTCTTGAAAAGGACCTCCTCACCCCCCCCTGTGTATAATAAACTGCTTTTGAAACTGAGGTATTTCAAAAGCAGTTTCTGTTTTATAATGAGGTTTATGTACAAGAAAAAGCCAAAAATCTATGTAGATACACCACGTCCATGGAGCATGCTCAAGAAACTTTTTGGATCCCAGCCCTAATCCAGTGAAACTAGTTAATACTTCTTCGTTAACATAAAATTCTTATGGTTACTATTTGGCCTATTGTTTGTATTTTGTGCTTGAGCTCTTTCAAGCTGTTTGGCATAAACATCTTACAATTTCCACTTGCATACACCCACTGAGTTCAGAGAAACATGTTGTTTAGTTGTTAAGTCGTTTCAAACTCGTCATCACCCCATGGACCAGAGCACGCCAGGCCTTCCTGTCTTCCACTGCCTCCTGGAGTTGGGTCAAATTCATGTTGGTAGCTTCGGTGAAACTGTCCAACCATCTCATCCTCTGTCGTCTCCTTCTCCTCTTGCCTTCACACTTTCCTAACATCAGGGTCTTTTCCAGGGAGTCTTCTCTTCTCATGAGATGGCTAAAGTATTGGAACCTCAGCTTCAGGATCTGTCCTTCAAGTGAGTACTCAGGGTTGATTTCCTTCAGAACGGATAGGTTTGATCTCCTTGCAGTCCAGGGAACTCTCAAGAGTCTCCTCCAGCACCACAATTCAAAAGCATCAATTCTTCGGCGGTCAGCCTTCTTTATGGTCCCGCTCTCATTCGGACTTTTGTTGACAAGGTGATGTCTCTGCTTTTTAAGATACTGTCTAGGTTTGTCATCGCTTTCCTCCCAAGAAGTAGGCGCCTTTTAATTTCGTGGCTGCTGTCACCATCTGCAGTGATCATGGAGCCCAAGAAAGTAAAATCTGTCACTGCCTCCATATCTTCTCCTTCTATTTGCCAGGAACATAACCCACAATAAATATGCCTAGGATTGCAGTCATGAAATTATATTCCTATCTTAAACTGAATGTCAGTGCAAAATAAGTATTCCAACACAAAATACATGACATACATTAGATTCAAGAAATGCATCCATAATTTTGCCACCCACAAATGTCATGATTTTAGGCAGGTGTTTTATCAATACTTGTTCAGCATGAAACCTGTTAATACAGATTGAGATTCAATCATGTGACTGTTGCTTTTCATAAACTTCCTTTCTGATTTTATTATTCTGAAAATGCAGTCTAAACATTTTTATAGATATAAGCATATAAATTATATAAATCACTTTTCCTCTGAGAAGGAGAGGTTCCTGCTGACATGGCAATAACTTGTATGGCCAAGGATCTAGATCAGTGGTCGGGGAACAAGGGTAAATTACCCCAAATGGGTAAAAGTGATAAGATCTACGACTCTCGATTTGCTGCAAATGAACCTAAACATTTATTCATCCAGGCTACATACATTTTCCAAGACAAAAGTCAATACTCACCTTGACACAGATACTTTCTACACCCTGGAGGGGGTGGGGTGGGGGACCTTCGATTTTCTGCTGGGGATAACAGTCCTCCTGCCACCGCTCAGAGAGTCCACACAAACAGCATTCAAATTTTTATTACTTTTCCTAACCACAGCTTTGAGGCATACGCATCATCATCATTAACCACCACCACCACCACCACCTGAGTTAACATCTTTGCCTACAGATATTGCAAAATCACACTGAGCCAAACTAACTGAGACACTAGAGGACACAATTCAGTTTTGTGCTAACACTGCCTTACTTTACATCAGGGAAAAAAGGCAAAAAAATCAACAAAGGTACTGTATTTTTCGCACCATAAGACATACTTTCCCCCCACAAAACAGGGGGGTGGAAAGTCTGTGCGTCTTATGGAGCGAAGAAAACAACTCAAAACTACGAAAAAAGGAATAGGCAGGGCTTGAATTAAGGCAGGAAAAAAGGGTGGACGGAGGATGGGTGGATGCGTGTCTGTGTGTGTGCGCATGAGAGACTGACTCAAAACTATGGAAAAAGAAACAGGCAAGGTTTGAAGTAAGACAGGAAAAAAGGGTGGAGGAAGGGGAGTGGGTGGGTGGATGTGTGTTTGTGTGTGTGAAAGAGACTGAAAACTATGAAAAAAGGAACAGGCAAGGCCTTGAATTAAGGCAGGAAAAAGGGGGAGGAAGGGAGGGTGTGTGTGTGTGCGAAAGAGAGAGACTGACTCAAAAATGAAAAAAGGAACAGGCAAGGCTTGAATTAAGGCGGGGAAAAAGAGTGGAGGGTGGGTGGATGTGAGTGTGTCTGAGAGAGAGACTGACTCAAAACTATGAAAAAAGGAACAGGCAAGGCTTGAATTAAGGCGGGAAAAAAGAGTGGAGGGTGGGTGGATGTGTGTGTGAGAGAGAGACTGACTCAAAACTATGAAAAAAGGAACAAGGAAAGCTTAAATTAAGGCAGGAAAAAGGGTGCTTTCATCAAATACTGTATCATTTCCTTCCTTTCAAATCAAGGGGGTAATGTTGGCTTATATAATTGGGGGGGGGGGGTAAAAAAGTTCCCTGACCCGATCTAGATTTTTCAGGATTCCCTGAGAAGTACAGTATGTGATGTCTGTATTATGTACAGAAAGCAACTCTGGGGGTGACAGAGCTAAGTGCTCCTTCAAGTGTGTTGAAAAAAACAGATGACTGAATAGAGCTTGAGTAGCATTGATTTAATTGGATCTTTTCATGGAGGGTCTAAGGTTGAAATCCTAGATTTCAACCTTAGGAGGAAGCCTCACTGAAATCTAACATTAGATTTAATCCATTATATATAATTAATACTTCAAGCAGCCTCTCTTGGTCCTGAGAAGCAACAATAGCATGTACAATTATACACAAAAATACGTTTTACTGAACTTTTACTTAAATTCCTTTTATGTTATTACCACCAGAGTGATTGTATTTATATCTTGATGCAGTAAGCACTGATATTTTTCCCTATATAGCTTTCAATAATTTTTATTTGCTACACAAAGTAAATATTTTGCTGCATGCCTTTTATTGCATAAGCATGAACATCTTGTCTTAGTCTTGGCCTTTCTTTGTCTTTGGCTACCAGAATAATGAGGTAAAATAATGGTAAAAACCATGCTCATACTTTTGATTTACAACAGAAGCCATAATACTAGTGGTACTGAATACTTAACCAAAACAATGAAGTAGTTTAGCCAGCATAGCTTTACCTGAAACAGCTTTATAAAAAACAATAAAAATAATCTGTGAATAAGTGTTGTGGTTCTACCAAAATAGTCAAATGTCCTTTAATAACCAGAGTGACTATATATGCTAAATAGACCAAAATTAATAAACCAGCAGCTTAAGAATAATACTTAAGCAGCTGATATCTAGACTTTACCATTATGCAGTCTTTTTTTAAAAAACTATTAAACAAAACTTCAATTTTTAGGCTCAGTTTTTATCTTTTGGAGAACACTATTACAAAAATTGCACATACTAGAACACCAATAGGTCTACTAGTATTTTGTCACCAAACTGTTATCATTTGAAATCTACTCAGAAAGCATAAGAGTGTACATCATGTGAAGTAAAAACGAGGAACAACTATATTTTAAAATTTTAATCATGATCAAAATCTGTTTAGTGCAAAAATTGCCTAAAGCAAATTTTCACTCTCTTTTACCCAGTGGTTCTCAATGTATATTTGTAGCTTTTGACGCTCCCCTCAATATAAAAAAAATGCATTTGCATGAAGTATGGAAAACTGCTGTCTGAGAAAAATCAAACTGAAGCCCTCTTGACTCACAACTCCTTTGATCCTACCCATGACCATTCCCTTGGGGGAGAAAAAGCTGAATTCCTCCTACCACAGTTCTAAAAGGGCTATTTTATAATCTACCATACTTCACTCCTGTATCAAAATAAATGGTAGAAACTGATTTTGTGTGTGTGTGTGTTTGGTAGCTTGCATTCCCCATAATTGCTTTCCTCCAAATAAAATAAAAATTTAAAACAAGTGCAAATGCTTATCATTTTGACATTTTATATGTTACTGCAACCATGGGTCCCTATATTTGTTAAACTGAATCACTTGGCAATGGAATTCTGTTAAGGCTCTTGGCATGGGTGAAACCTCTTCCCATTCAGACCTGCTGCTATGATAGACTTGTACTTCATCTGTAATTTCATCAGGAGCGTAATCTCCGCCAAGGATATAAATCTTATCTTCCAACCCAACTGCTCCTGCATTAAAACCCGCACATTCAAAAGAGCCCTCCCCTTTCCAAACACACGTCTCTGGACAAAAACTATAAACTTTGTAGGTTGAAAGGTCACATATATACAATGTGCAGTTCACTGGAACAGCTTTGATTAAGGTTGCATGGAAGAACTGCCCAAATTCTGCCACAAGCTCAGACCATTGATCAGTTGCAGCATTATATTTAAAGAAACAATCAAGAGATGGATTAAATGCATCAGTAATCTCTACTTCAGAACCAAGCACATAAATTATATTCTGACATGCACTTGCTTCTGGATAGTAGATGCCTCTTGGCAATGGACTCATAGATTTCCATTCTCTAGACAATGGACAGTATGCTTCCACATCCAAAAGGCTTTTGATATCCTGAGATGCTCTTGTCTTCCCACCTATTACAAACAATTGGTTTAATGTTACAACAGATGTATGCATTGTCCTTGGCTTCTTCATAGCTGATACTAATGAGAAGCTCCCATTTACTGGGCAGTAACACCAAGTTTGGTCAGTGGCATCATGAAATGTTTCAGCAATATGCAGTCTAATAGTCCGAAAACAGTTCCCTTTACATCCACCAGTTATAAATAGTTTTTCACCATAACTAGACAAACTTGATCCAGGCAGATCAATTAGGGGTGTGTGTGTCAGTTCTTTCCACTTATCAGTTTTTATATTATAGCAAAATGTATGCTTAAGTACACTATTTTCTTCCATTTTATGAACAAATATGTACTTCTCTGTTGTTGATGGGCGAGCATCTGGAAACAACCCACTGAATGTCTGCACATTTTTAATTGCCTCATTGATTATTATTAAGCAGCCAGTGTTTGCAAGTAACTGTTCTTCAAAATGCAAGATGTCTTCCAGTGTCTTTTCAGACAACTGATGCAACCTCACATTATTCATCAATTTACGAAGATGCTTCTGTCTTGCTTCTAAGTTATGCTTTATCCATCGAAATACAGCTTTCAACACAGTCTCTTCATCTGGGACATTCAGCTCTTCAGCTTCTATACATTTTTCCAATATCTCAAAATTCATTTCTAGGAAATCATTTGATTGAAGCAGCAAAGAAAAATGGCGCTGGGCATACTTTAGCGTGTGATCAAATAGCTGGGTGGACCCGTAACTTTCAGAAATAGATAACAGTTGCAAACAATTGACAAGATCAATGTTCTTAATTAGAAAGTCACTGCAAGCTTTTGAAAGAAGCGAAACTTGAAGAAAGGATGATAGCTGAAAAAACATTTCTACATTATCATTTGTTATCTCAATTCTTCCAGTGTAGGCATAATCTAGGAAAGCCTTCACTGCCTTGGGTGATAAATTACTAATAGTAACACTTCCATCATCTCTTTCTTTCATGTTAACTTCAAACATGGCTCTGTTAAAAAAGAGAAGATAAACATATAGTAAGCTGTCAACAATATCTCTGTGCTATCCTTTTTTTAAAAAAAATGTCCAGAACTTTTGTGAGATTAAGGATACCCTTCTCAGTTATTAGTGAAAAACATTTTCAGTAAATTAGTTGTTAACTGAATGAATACTAAATGCAGTACAAACACAACATTAAAGAAGATAGCACTTTTACTTAGTTCAGGATAATGTCTTAAGCCTTTTTCAATGCTGTCAGTTTCTTATTGAGCCATACTCTCTTTGTGAGTCTAGAGAACATGGCTCAATAAGAAACTGACAACACATACCAAGATCCAGGTCTATAGAGCCTGTGTCCTGAGCATACTCCTGTACTGCAGTGAGTCCTGGACACTTTGTGCCCGGCAGAAGAGGAAGCTGAACAGATTGGATTTGTCTTCAGTGTGGAAGAGATTGTAACTCTCGAATTGGCCTCCTCAGCCACACTAGACGCTGTTCCAAGTCCTCCATACAGAGCACGCTACCATAGTCTTTCGAGACTGAAGGATGCCTACTATTCAATGCAGAGTTTGTATTTTTAAAAACAAATAAGATGAATCTATAGGATTTTGAAAAGAAAAAGAGAGGTGGACTCATTGATTTAAAAAAAAGATTCCATTTCTCAAACTAAATCCAAAATTACTTTTGGAAATTACTGTCATTTTTTTCAATTTGTTTGGCTGGAAAGGAGGGGGTGCATTAATCTCTCTTGGGATTATGGAATGTGTCCTGGTCTTTGGCTAAAAATCAGAGCAATATTGCAAGCTATTTGCCAAGATGTTAGATTCAATCATAGGTTCAAAGATCTTAGAAGTTCCACATTCTTAAAATGTCACTGTGAATAAAAGAATGTTGACTACTCTTGTAGGTTTGTAATGGCTACAGTTAGGTATCTGACTATGAAGTCAGAGGTTGGGAGTTCAGCTCCCCACTGTACATCCTGAAACAGCCAACATTTGTGGCCTTGGGCGAGCTGTACAGTTCCAGCATGCCCTCAGAAGTAAACCACTTCTGAGTACTCTCTACCTAGAAAACCCTAAAAAGGGTCATCATAAGTCTGAATTGATTTGATGGCACGCAACTATTATTACTACAATTAATAAGAGAGATGTAGTTTCATATATCTGGAGGCACTAGGCTGGGGAAGGTTGCTGCATACCTCTTTTATATCCCCTGCATTACTAGCCACAGCCAACCAAACTTTACAAGGTAAGTCAAACAATGTGGTTTGAAATACTATGCTACCTTGTAACATGAAATGTTTAATAATCTTTGATCAGCATGTGCAGGACTGCCATATCCATCTAATCAGTACCTGCAGTTTCACTTATCTGTTGCCTGAAAATATTAAATACCTCCCCCCCCCAGAAATATGTTTCCAAATTGTATTGCCAAAAGTTGTCACTAGAACCCAGAGACTATGCTATATCTATATATCTATCTCTATATCTATCTACTGTATATCTATCTATATCTATAGATATAGGGCATTTATATATCTGTGCTTTTCAGGGCCTGCCTGGGAGGGCTTGGAACCCATTGTAGCAATCTCCATTTATTAGATCTATGGTTCTTGTCAGAAATATGTTTCCAAATTATATTGCCAAAAGTTGTCACTAGAAGAACCCAGAGACTCTGTCTCTCTCTCTCTCTCTCTCCATTTATTAGATCTATGGTTCTTGTTGTGTTATGTAATGGCGGAGCCAAGAGAGATGCTATAGGAGGCGGAGTCAGAAGTCAGATTGAGGGAGATTGAGTCAGTGAGAGTAGAGTCAGGGAGTGTAATAGAATGTGTAGTTTGGGAAATTCTGAGATGTGATTAGCTACTGAAGATATTTATGAAACAATCTCTGTAATCAATAAACCAAAGTTTTATTTAAAAGACCTTGGAGTGTGGACCTGAATCTTTCTGAAGTAATAGTGATTTAGAGATCACCTGGTGGCAGCAAGTGAAAAAAGTGAGGTTTGTTTGCCTTCGTGTGCTCTGAGGCTTCAGCAAGCAAGGGGCACGAGGGTGGACGTCACATCCATCTCTACTGATACAGTGGTGCCCCGTATAGCGAGGTTAATCCGTTCCGGATTAACCTTCGCTATACGAAAACATCGCTGTGCGGGTAAGTAAAACCTATTGGAACGCATTAAACTTAGTTTAATGCGTTCCAATAAGTGTGCAAACTTACCCCTCCAGCGATGTTTTCGCGTCCGGTGGCCACTCGCTTTGCGACGATTGGGGCTCCGGCGGCCATTTTGGAGCCGCCGAACAGCTGACATCTCTACTGATACCGGGGTCTGCTGTTCTAAAAAACGATTACAGTACTTTTGGGTAATTTAAATGACTGCTAAATGTCCCGATTTTTCGTTAAACGGTGCACTCGTTAAGCGAGGCACCACTGTACTGGGATCTGCTGTTCTAAAAAACTAATACTTGTGGGTAATTTAAATGACTGCTAAATGTCCCTGTCCAGCAAGGCAGATTGGCATGTGAATGTAGGCTTCCTTGTGTACAGATTACATGGATATAAAAGCCCTTGTTGTTTAATCATTTAGTCATATCCGACTCTCCATGATCCCGTGGACCAGAGCATGCCAGGCCCTCCTGTCTTCCACTGGCTCCTAGAGTTGGGTCAAATTCATGTTGGTAGCATAAAAGCCCTATCCAGCCACTATATACAAAAGTTAACTAAACATGAGAGAAGGGAAGTCTATTAGCCTACCCTCTCCATTGTTTCAGTCACATGAAAAGCATGTGTCTGAGGTAGAAGTCTCCAGTAGAGCACCTTCTGTATGCCTAGACACTCTTCAAACTACTATAACCTGAGTTTTGAATTAGCTACAGACGGATTTTAAGGCAAACAGAAATGAACATCTCTAGACAGCCTCATATATGAAGTTGTACCCAAGGATCTGGTTTGGAACCAGAGTGTTTAATGTTAGCTTATGGAAGAATAGCATAAGATGCCTTCCTTTTTACTATTTACTTATATTTATGGAAGTCTTCAAATCTATATTAGTACACGTCTTGGTCTTATTTTTCAAAGACCAACATGAAAGAAGAATTCTTCATTTTGAGTGTCATTGATGAATCAGATAAGTTTTTCAACAAGAATAAAATATATGCATGTGAGCCTCATAAAGAGCTTTACCTGAAGAAGTCACTACATGCAGCTAGAACACAACGGTGACATGGAATTGCTTCATCGTTCACAAGTATTTTGAAGTCAAAAAATATGTTTTGGTCCCTGAAGCTTTGCAATACATTTAGGATTTGCTGGCCATGGCCTTCAGCTACCAAAGAACAGATTTTCTCCTTATGAGCTGGAACTCCATTGCATGTTGGGGCACTGGTCGAATTGCACTGCTTGTCCATGTCTGCATCAATCTGTTATTTCTGAAGGAGATAATTTAAAAGTTATTAACATCACAATACTGCTTTCAAAACAAATGGAAATTAGTTTTGTTTTTTAAAACCTTCCCAATTCATGATTTTCTGTGCAGAGGTATACACATCTCTACACAGCATCCTTCTTTATGGTATATCAACAAGGTGTAAATCTTTAAAAAAAATTTTGAAAAAATAGATAAGAGTGTATATTAACATCCAAATGGTACAAGACAGAGACCAAAATCTCATGTCTCTATGTGTTTTCCAGTCAATAATAAAGCAATCTACATGAAGAATCACTTGAATGCTAGCTAGGAGTAAAGCCACTGCAGTTCGTAAGTATGCAAATTCTTAAGCACCATGTCTATTGCACTGTATTTATTAGACATAATTATGATGGTGATATATAAATATACATATGTAAGAAAACACAAAGCTAAAGCCCAAAAGTTACTCTGCACAGATACAAATCAACCTTTCACAGCACAACCAATGTGCTTCCAGGTTCCCCTTCACTTATTTTCAGCCCCTCAGAATAACAAATATTCAGTTTAAGGCTCTTTTCTGTGGGAGAATTCAGGGTCTCTACAAGCCTTTCAAAGTAGCTGTATGGCCATGTGTTGAGTTGGATCCCTGCAGTGGAAGAGGACTGGACTTTATGGTAGCTCTTCCACCTCTACAGTACAATGAATCTACAAAATGCAGTTATAGTACACTGGGGTGTATGCATCTTGTCCATGTGGATTCAGATGCACACAGAAAATTAATGCCAGTTTTTGTTGTTGCTTCCAGTTTACTGCTGCCCACTAGCCAAATGCATTACATGGACCACTTACACCTGGAAACTCCTATGCTGTAAATTTCAGAGAGACTGAAAGCCATGGGTGTCCCTAAGTGAAAGTAAGGAAGAGGGACATCAACAAGACTAAGAGGCTGAAGAAAGTACTGTATGTGGAATACATGGGGAAATGGCAGTGCAAAAAGACCACCACGTGTGTGTAGAAATGTAAGTGCACTCTGAGGCCCACAGAGAAGGGAGTAAGCCATTGACAAAGAAAGGCTCATAAAGAAAACACTGGCCATGTTCTCTCCCAATGACCAGAGGACAATGTGTCAAGTCAGGCATGCAGTGATATGCCAGGCCCTGGTGGGGGTCTGCCCTTCACCCTGGGACATCTATTTTGGTAACTCAGTAAAGAACTCTGTTCTATTTATTAAGTGCCAAACAAAAACAACCTTTCAAAAATAACACAACTGCAGAGATAATTAACATTCAGTAACTTTTTTCCACAGTGATATCCTGAGATATGAATTTACAAAGCATAGCATTTATCAATAATGCATGTCAGGACTGCTCTATGAGACTGAAGGAATATGTGCATATTTGAAAGAATTTTGTGCTTCTGAATCACTTTAGAAAACAGCATGGTACCAGCATGAAATACTGAAATCAAGCTGATTCCTAGAGGCACTCCAGAATTAGAGAACATCCTCTCGGCAAGAGACACTGCTTAATTGCGAATCCCCACATCCTTAACGTTAATCCAATAAATAAAAACAAGAATAAAATCTCAAAAAGGTAAACACATGAATGATAAAACTATGGAAATAAAGTAAAGCTCTAGCTGTCCTGGATTAAAAGTGGCTGATCCTAATTGCTTTGGTATCAAACAAACAAACAAAGGAATTAAAAGCCATAGGTAACTACTGTGGCAGATACAGGCATAGTCCATTTATATTATACATTTCCATTAAATAAATACTCCTAATGTATAGCGAAATAACATTTATGAGCACAATACAAAAGATTATCTGATTCTATATAATACTCTTTTTTTGGTGAATTGGCTGGCGGAATAACTTCAAACCTACTGTATATGTATAGCTAAACGTGGAAATATATTTTTTCATTTCACTCCTCAGCCACATGTTAGAGTGACATAGCTGTTACACTTCAGAAACCAAAAGTATCCCTAATATGTTGTCAACCAATCTCTTAATTAAACACCTCCACAGGTGGAGAATCCACTACCTCACAATCCATTCTACTGTCAATAAGCTCTCGTTGTTCAGACGTTCTTCCTAATGTTGATTCAAAACCTCCTTTTCTGTAATTTAAATCCACTGCTCTTAAATCTTATCTTCTGGAGCTGCAGAAAATAAGGTTGCCCTGTCTTTCACATGACCACTTCTCTGTATTCGCTAAACATGCTTGACTCCCTCTACCTTTCCTTGCAGGGCCTGGTTTCCAAACACATTATTATCCTGGTTGCTGTTTTCTGGACATGTTCTAACTTCTCAATATCCTTCTTACCCCATGGTGCCCAGAACTGGACACAATATTCCAGATCAAGGCTGACTAATGCAGAACAGAGTGACACTATTACTTCCCTCTATTAGGACACTATACTTCTATTGATGTAGCTGAGTACCATTTTTTCTTGTTGCTGCATCATACTGTTGTACTATTACTTCCCTCTATTAGGACACTACTATTGATGTAGCTGAGTACAATTTTTTCTTGTTGCTGCATCATACTGTTGACTCCTGTTTTGTTTGTGGTCTACTGAGACCCATAGATCCATTTCACCTATGCTACTGTCAAACCCACTGTCTCCCACCCTGCGTTTGTGCATCTGATTTTTCCTGCCTAAACAAAATAACTTATATTTTTCCCCATTGAAACTCATTCTGTTTGTTCTGAAACAGTTTTCCAGCCTGTTATGGTTATTAGTCACGGTTCTGTTCTAACTTGTGAAATATTAGCCATCCTTCCCAGTTTAGTGTCATCATTAATAAGCATCCCTTCCACACCTTCATCAAAGTCGACTATGAAAATGCTGAACAAAGCCAGGTCTACAAAAGAAGATCGTATTACCTTGCTAGTCACTTCTCTCTGGATGGTGATGAACCATTGGCAAGTGCTCTTTGGGTACAGCCTTCAAACTAGCCACAAATCCATTTAAAGGTGGCATCATTTAGAGCCTAGGGCACATTTTATCTTTTTAGCCACAAGAATAGCATACCTCTTGAAAAGCGTCCCTGAAATCAATATATGCTACCTCTACTGCATTGTCATCACCAATCAAGCTTGGGTCTCTTGTCAGAAAAAGAGATTAATATTAGTCTGCATTGACTTGTTTTCAAGAAAAGTGTGCTGAGTTTTAGAAATTGCAGTTACCTTTTTGAAGCACCCTTAGTCTGTTCTGGAACCTTTTCTGTATATCAATATCAAACACTGACTTTTGGCCGGATCCTGAATTACTGTGCTTGCAACCTGCATTGAAACGACTAGTCAGACATTCTCTTCCAGCTTAACCTACACCACCAATTAACTTGGGAGGGTGAGATTGTGAGCCAGATATAAGATCTGGGAGTGTCAAAGACACTCTTGTACTAGACAGGCAATTGAGATTGACTACACACAGACTCAGCAGATCAAAAACAAAAGCGCTGTTTATTTCGAGTGATATCGTCCGGGTCTCTCAAGGTGAGGGACCCCGATCAAACAATGCAAGGAGCTTTTAAGACTTCTAACCACAAGAAAATAATAGTACAGAAAATATCTATTGGCAGACAGTTGGGTCAGGGGGTTTGACTACAGAGTCTCTACCTATGGGATTTCAAGAGGGGCTGGTAGTTCTAAGTATTCTATTGAGCAGGCCCCTCGCCCTGGGTTCTTCTAACTTGATAGCAAAAAACAATGTTTTTTGATAGAAAAATGAATAAACAGGATATTCTTGGTCAGCTGATATAAACCGCAAGCTCAGCTAGCTGGGGCTGCAAACCGGTGCTTGGAAAGTACCTGGCTTGCACACGGAAAGTACCTGACAATAACAGGATATTGGTGGTTGACCAATGTAGACTGCAGAGAACAGGTGTCTAGACGACACCAAGAAAAACAAGCAAATTCATATATGTGTTATATATCTGGTAACTTTTATAAAAATAAGGGCCTGGGGTCTCTGTGAAGCATCCTACAATCCTTATTGTCAGCTCACAGGATGTATAACAATAGCATAGCGCTAGAAACGGTGACTCCATATTGGCCTCTGAATAATTTGCTGCTAGAGTACACAGTGATGCATGTGGTAGGGCATTGATCTCTAGTGTACAATTTCCTCGACATTTATTTGGTCAGTCACTGTAGGAACAGAATTGTAGGGCATTGATCTCTAGTGTATACATTTCCTCAACATCTATTTGGTCAGTCACTGTAGGAACAGAATCTGGGGCCAAGAAATGAGGTAAATCCCATAACTAAATAGGATTCTAGACTAGGTCTTCACAACTTTAAAAGGTGACTTGTCAAAAAAATATTGAATCACTTAAATGACCAGGGCAGAGTAACCTAGTTGATTCAATAGTCTATGGCAATATGCTGGTGGGACAGAACTGGATCTCTCTCTCTCTTTAGCCCTTGGCTGCCCAGACTGGTTCTTTTTCCTAGGAAACCCAACGGGGAACCGAACTCGCAACCCCCTGGCTCTGCCGCCAGAGACTTCACCCTGGAAGGAAGGCTTGGCGACAAAGGAAGGGCGCGTGTTGTGTTGCAGCCTCGGGAGCTGCCCTGCGCATGTCCGGGAAATGGGCATGCGCAAATCTAAGGGGGGGAAGCACAACCCAAACGGACCCCTTGCCCTAAAAGACTCTTTCTTCAAAATTAGCCGTGGCCTCCTCGGTGTCACGCTCCTCACGCAGAAATGGCTCCCCGTTAGCCGAGGAGGCCCTTTCCCCTTTTCTCTTCTCCTCTGCCGCGGCGCCCGGTACCCACCTGCCTCGACTCCAGGAGCTCCGACGCCGCCAGCCGAATCCACCATCCGAACCCCGGCTTCGCTCTCCTACTGGCTCGCTCGTCTGCCCGTCTCAGCGATCTTCCCCCGTGAATGGCGTGCCGGCGTGTCATGACCGCTGGAAACCCACCCACCCCTCATAACGGCCGGCTGGAAGAGGCTGTGGAGCCCAAGGGACGGCCCGCTCCCTCCCAAGAGATGCAGGCTTGAGGAAACGGTGAAGAGACTTCAGGTTGTCGGTCGAACGTGGCACCCGGAAAAACACGACGCGGAGAGCAATAGAGAAGGGTTTCTTCTTGCATTTCGGGCCTTTGCCCCTCATTTGGTACTTTCCTAGCTGTGCAGCATGACTCTGAAGTGAAGAATGCCCGAACTGGTCTTCTTATTTCTCTATGTGCGCTGCAAAGGGTTGTGTCAGGCGTCAGATTGGTCAGTGAGTTTTGACTCCGCCTCTGCCCCGCCCCTTTTCCCCTCATTTCTGAGCCATCCTCAGAGAGATTCCAATTAAACCAGCCTGGGCTCCCTCGTGCTTCTTGCTTCCGGGTTCGCTTGTATTTGTTTATTATTGACCGTTTTGCAGGGCAGGGAGGCCGCCGAGTCCCTTGCACTTGTCCTTGTTGCTGCCTGTTTACTCGGAAGCAAGCTTCGCTGCCCTGAAATGAGCTTCCTCCCGAGTAAGTGTGCGCTGGCTGCCTGCAGCCTTTAGAGTAGGCTTGGCTTGCTTCCTTCCTTTGCTTCATCCCTCCCTCCTCTTCTCATAGAATGACCTGATGCATAGAGAGCATCAAGCCCTGGCACGCTGCATGTCATCCAAGGAAACCGGAGGAATATTATTTTAGATGGGAATGAATGAGCTTAGGGGGTGTGCAGTTGCCTAAATTAATGCATATATGTACAAATTATGCATCCTGTCTAAATGATGCCAAGAGAACAACCCAGGATGACACTGGAGCCTAGTCCTTGAGTTGATAGCCGTTAGCCACCAACCTTAAATTCTAGACCTTTTACATGACTTAGCGCCAAAAGGAGAGCATTGCATGTTTATATCTTTGATTTGTATCCTTGCCATTCAAGGACCTGTGGGCTGAGCCCATTTTACATCCAGGAGAAGCTAAGGCTGAAAGAGCTTCTGATTTCCTTCACCCAGCAGACTTTGAACCTGACGCTCATTGCTCTGAGAGCTGGTGGCCTATCCCCCTCCTGCAACTGTGCACATACGTGAGTGGCCTTCAGGTCACCATCTCTGTCTATGCCCAGGCGTCCTGCCCTTTCCCTGGGGCGTCTTGCAATGGACAGTGTGCGGTGGGCCTTTTCCTATTCTGCCTGGGCCCCCTGTCGGGAGGACTGGTTGCTGGCCATGCGCCTCATACAGCCTGAAGAGAAAGAGCGCATTGAACAGTTTGTCTTCAGCCGTGATGCCAAAGCTGCTATGGTATATATTTGTTAATTCTTTTAAAAGATGTGCTTTAAGGTTGACCTGCCAGTTTTGTTTTTAAAGATCGGGATGCCTTGAGACCACAGGTTTCAGTTTAGAGTAGGTGTTTTTGTTTTTGTTTTTGAACTAACATGTTGACATTTACTCCTTTACCTGATAGGAACATGTAGGTTGTTCTTGAATTCATGTCGAAAAATGAGCTTTTACAGGAAAGTGGCCCAGATTCCCCCGAAGATTCCCCCAAACCAATGTTTTAAAAGCAATGAGTAAAAATTTTAGTTGTTACACTTTAAAGAAAAAAAACAATGTTTTATGTGTTACTTTGTTTCTAAAACACTTTTATGTTGTTGCATTGTTAATTATATTCTAGGTGCTAGGAAAAAAAACTGATTTACCTGATTGTTACAGGTCTTGTATGGCTTTCTGATGAGCTTTTACTTTCAGTATATGTGGGTGGAAATACAATCTATATTATCCAGGGACTTCTGATTTTTAAAAATATGGTTTCCAATAGCAGGCCAAACTGAAAACTTTGCACATTTGTTTTTTATTTTTCTAATAGCTAGATATTACTCTGGTTGCACTGTTCTCATGATTAGACGTTCTAATGTAGCTGTGACAAACCCAGACCTACTGGGATATGTCGTAAATGGTCTGTGGATCGAAAGAAAAATGCAACAGCTTCACACTAAAAACATCCTTATGTTCTCTTTACTCCGAAAGCACCATGTTACTGGTGATGTTACTTGCACTGTATTTCTTCCAAGGTCTGGTTCAGAGAGCTGCTTTTGAAGACAATGGGTTTACCAGAGCCAGTGGGTTTTGGCACATGGAACATCATAAACCAAGTGAAAACTGCCTTCTCTTGTACCAGCTGCCAGGCCATACTACAATGCCAAATGTCAGTAGCCATTCTTCTACGCTTCATACTGAGAAGTGAGAGACTGATCCCGCCTCCTGCTCCCTCTCACAGCTATGGGCCAGATGCCACATAGATCCTTTTCTCCTAGAACTGCCCTCAGATTTATTATTCAGCTTGGCTATTATTTATAAGCAAAGCAAGCAAAGTGTGCTGCTTACCTACCATCCATAGTGCTTAAAGCACTATCTGGATGGTTTATAATTTAATTTTGTGGGATACAAATTCTCATCCCCCAGGAAGTTGGGTACTCAATTTACCAACTTTGGAAGGATGGAAGACTAACTTATCCTTAAGCTGGCTATCTGATCCTGTCAAGATCAAACTCAGATTGTGAGCAGAGTCTTCACTGCGGTTTAACCATTGCACTATGAGGCTCTGATTATTTATGTAACTGAATGAAAAATTGTGATTTGAGGAGGAAGAAAAGGGTAGTCTCTTCTTTTTGGTGGCATCCAGGTATGCTTTGCCAGTATTTTAGAATTGTAGGAAATGTAATTCACATTGAGTCACTGCAGAATGATAAAAAAATGCTAATCATCATTACAAAGCAGTATGAAATGGGTTTTCTACATACCATTCTAGAAAAAAATAAAAGCACTATAAGATAATAAGGTTTGCTCAACAGACAGTGTTTGAATACTGTATGATACATTTTAAGCATTAAAACATCAGGGATAGAGGTGGGCATGAAGCTCAGTTCAGAGATTTGTGCCACTTTGTCAGTGTTCCCTCCACCAGCTCTCCCACTCACTAGCTGGTGTGCGCTGCTTTTCTCCTGCTCTTCTCGTGATTGTCCAGTCACAGCAGGAGCATGGATTTCCCTTCTCTGCCTCCTCTGGCAGCTGCCCACTCAGATGAGGAGGCAAGGCAGGGATTCCTGTCGCACTGCCTTTGAGTGGGCAATGGCCCGAGGAGGCAGAGAAGGGAAGTCCGTGTTCTTACAATCATGAGAAGAGCAGGGGGAAAGCAGTGTGTGCTGACTGGTGAGTGGGGAAGTGGCTAGGGTGAGTGGGGACTGTGACTGGACAATCATGAGAAGAGCAGGGGAAAAGCAGTGTGTGCTGACTGGCGAGTGGGGAAGTGGCTAGGGTGAGTGGGGAAAGGGAACGCCATACCGACAAACCGGCACGAACCTCTGAAATGAGGTTCGTGCACATCTCTAGTCAGGGAACAAGTCAATCATTCAATAGATTAGCTTTCCCCAGCACAGTACTGTCAAGATGCACTGCACTACAATTTCCCTCTTCCCTGTCCAGCACAGCTGCTTGTCATGCTATGAAGAGATAGTGGGTTTTGTAGTGCAGCACATCTGGATTCTGTCAAGTACTGTGAAAGCTCATTTACAAATTCAGTGCTGAATCATCTGAGTGGGAAGCGCCAAACACCTGTTCAGCAGCTAAATGAACCATGCCCATCTCTAATCAAGAACAATACATATAATATGTAAATATTATATAAAATGTTTTAAAATGTAACTTACTCATTCCCTGACAAATTGAACATTTTACCTTATCTTCTTATGTGAAGTATTCAGTAGATAAGGATCATCATTTTCAAGACGGGGGGGGGGAGAGAAAGTTCCATGGCTCCCAGGTGGGCTATAGTGGCACCTCCTTGCGTACAGTGGAGGCTACCCTCCCTGCTGCCACCAAATTGGCCACAACTGCATCAAAACAGTGCCATGTTTGTCCTCTTTAACATAACAACATTCATCATGATGTCCCATCAAGTCAATTCTGACTTATGGCCACTGTAACAGCCTCCTTATACCTCACAAAGGGGCCATTACGTCACACTCAATCACTCTTCAGTACCACTGCCACCAACCATTCCCTCAAATGAAGCTTCAGGCCAAAGGATGATTTCAAAATAAAAATAAGGTTTATTGTATACAAACAAAAGGAATGGTAAATCACTTGTATGTAAATAATACTTTAATCACTATAATAATATATCGTATTTTTCGCTCCATAAGACACACCTTTCCATAAGACGCACCAATTTTTTAGGAGAAGAAAACAGGAAAATATAATCTGTTTTCTTCGCTCCATAAGACGCACAGACTTTCCACCCCCCTGTTTTGTGGGGGGAAAGTGCGTCTTATGGTGTGAAAAATACGGTATCTCTCACACACACACTCTCACAGACTCTCGCTATATAGCACAGTTCTTATCTCTCAGTATCTTCAAGCCCTATCTCTGTTCCCTATCTCCCTAACCGTCCCTATCTCAAAGCCCTATCTGACTCTCTCACACCATTCACTCCCCTTACTCCCTTCTTCTGGGGGTGACCTGGGACTGTGCAGCTGGCCCAAGACTACACAGGCTGGCTGTACCTCCTGGGAGGCATAGTGGGGAATCGAACTCTCAGCCTCCAGCTCTGCAGCCAGATACCAAAACCACTGAACTATGTGCATATTTTCTACACACTTTGGTTATAAGTGTAATTGTGTTTCCAAGATCCTATGGCGGGTTTGGACAAGAGAAATCCGAATTAAAATCAGATGCACTATGAAGTTCATTGTGTGGCTTTGTGACATTCACTTGCTTTCTCACCCTATTTGACACTATAGGCTTGTGGTGAAGGAGGGGCAGGTTATTTAAACAATGAGGCGTGCAACCACATGTTTATCCATGCTAAGTTGTTATTTGTCTTAGAAAGTAACTCCATAATGGAGCTTCTTAACAGAATGTGGAAACTTTTTTTTAAAGGCAAATGGAATTATAATAAATTGTTTCTGTTACATGGATTAGATACCTGCGGCACCCTCTTTGTTTGTTCTGTTTTGTAGGCTGGCCGTCTGCTGATAAGGAAATTAATTGCAGAGAAGCTGAAGATCCCTTGGAATGAAATATGGTTGCAAAGGACTTCAAAAGGCAAGCCGGTCCTTGCAAACAACTTGAGCAGCAGCAGCCATTCCCGTTTCAGCTTTAATGTTTCCCATCAAGGGAATTATGCCGTTCTTGCAGCTGAGCCTGACTGTCAGGTTGGCATTGATATTATGAAGACTGCCCTGCCAGGTAATATACGCTTGTGGCCCATACATCCGTATAATGTCCTAAGATAGGAGTTTGTGCTGGTTTTGCCGCCTGCATGTGAAGTTATGTGGTTGTTATATGCCATCAGGTCACTTCAGACTCATGTCAACCCTAAGCATGACTGATCTCAACTGCCCTCCTCGGCTCTTGTAAACTCAAGCCTGTGGCTTCCTTTATGGAGTCAATCCATCTTGTATTTGATTGCTTTTCCACCTTTCCCAGCATTATTGTCTCTTCCAGAGAATCCTGCCATCCCATGATGTGCCCATAATAGGACAGGCTCAGCTTCAGTATTTTTGTCTCCATAGATAGTTCAGGCTTCATTTGACTTCATCTTTCTGGCAGTCTAGGGCATCCGCAAAGCTCTCATCCAGCACTACATTTCAAACAAATCTGTTTTTTTTCCCCTGTCAGCTTACTTTACCGTCAAGCTTTCACATCCATACAGTACATGGTGACTGAGAATACAAGTGATTGTTGTATTCAGGCTAGGCAGGCCAAAAAAGGCCTACAAAAAAGAAGGAAAGCATAGTTTGGAGCAGGGGTGGGATCCACATATACAGTTAGTTCCTTACTGTTGGCCATTATGGCTGGGACTTCTGGAAGCTATCTAAAAGACCATGTCTCTCCCTATGAACCCCCATGGGTGTTAAGATCATTTGTTTGTTTGTTTGACTTTTATACTGCCCATGAGTTGTTGGAGGTCTTCAGCAGAGTAGGCAACAACAGCTGCATCATCAGCAAAGAGGAAGTCCCTCATGCATTTCACCTGGACTTTGGTTTTCGCTCTCAGTGTAGAGAGATTAAAGAGCTTTCCATCTGATCTAGTCTGGAGATAGACACCTTCTGTTGTAATTCCAAAAGCATGCTTCAGCATGACAACAAAAAAAGATCCCAAACAAGGTTGGCAAGAGAACACAGCCCTGTTTCATTCCATTTTGGATGTTAAAGGGATCTGATGTTGAGCCATCAAAAACTACAGTGCCCATTTCCTCATGAAAAGACCTGATGATGTTAAGGAGTTGAGGTAGACATCCAATCTTGGAAAGGATTTTAAATCCTTTTAATTTGCTAACCAAATCAAAGGCCTTTGTAAGATCTATGAAGGTCACAAAGAGTGGCTGTCGTTGTCCCCTACATTTCTCCTGCAACTGTCTGAGGGAAAATACCATGGCAGTGGTGGATCTATTAGCTTGAAATCCACACTGTGATTCTGGATAGACTCTGTCTGCAAACACCTGGAGCCTCTTCAGCACAACACAGGCAAGCAACGCTGAGAAGAGAGATGCCAGGGTAGTTATTGCAGTCGCCCCTGTCTCCTTTGTTCTTATACAGTGTGACGATGTATAGAGCCTGTGTCCTGACCACACTCCTGTACTGCAGTGAGTCCTGGACCCTTTGTGCACAGCAAGAGAGGAAGCTGAACACGTTCCATATGTTTGCTTGGGCATCTTGTGAGAATGGCTGATGGTCAGATTCCATTGGAGAATTAGTGCAGGGAAATCAGCCCCGAGGGAGACCACAGCTGCGATACAAGGATATCTGCAAGCGGGATCTGAAGGCCTTAGGAATAGACATCAACAGATGGGAAACCTTGACATCTGACCATTCAGCCTGGAGGCAGGCGGTGCAGCATGGCCTCTCCCATTTTGAAGAATCCAGCAGGCCGCGGCAAAGAGGCAGTCCTGAAAGCAGCTGAAGGGGTTGTCACTCTCATATTGGCCTCAGCCACACTAGATGCTGTTCCAAGTCCTCCATACAGAGCATGTTACCATAGTCTCTCGATACTGAACGATGCCTAAAATATACTGCCTATCTGACTGCCAGGGCCACTTTGGGTGGTTTGCAACTAAAAAAATAGATAGATAGTAATATAAACCAATAAACAGAACAGCAGTCAAAATTAAACTTAAACATCAGATACACATATACAAGCAACCTAAGTAAAAACTAAAAAGTAATTAGGATAGATTAACAGTAAAATGGCAGAACAGGGAGTATAAAATGCTCAAACGACCGGGGATGAGCACCGCCCCTTAGAGTCGAACACGACTGGACAAAAATTGTCAAGGGGAACCTTTACCTTTTTTAATTAGGATAGATTAACGGTAAAATGGCAGAACAGGGAGTATAAAATGCTGAAACGACCGTTGAGTTAGGATGTTGAATACTCCAGGAGAGCCTGCCTGAAAAACCATGTTTTCAGTGATCATTTAAAGCTTCCCAATGAAAGGGCCAGGTGAATTTTAGATAGGAGATCGTCCAAAAGATGAGAAGCAACCACTGAGAAGGCCTGGTTTTTGGTCTTCTCTTTCTGTGCCTCTCTCTCAGGGTCCATGTTTTTAGCTGGCCTGGGAAGATTGCGTAGAACAGGCAGATCTCATTGGAAGGTGTTCTGCCGGGTATTGAGGTCCCAAACACTTTAGGGCTTTGTAAGTCAGAATCATCACCTTGAGGGTGTCACAGAAACAAACAGGTAGCCAGTGCAAGGCTGTCCTAGTGGGGGAGATGTGGTATTTTTTCACCCCAACCCATAGTTTAGCCCACCGTATTCTGGACCTGTTGAAGTTTCTGTGGTGACCTCATAGGCAGCCCTATATAGAGGGCATTACAGTAGCATAATCTTGAGACTACCAATGCATGGACCAGAGTGGTGAGGGACCCAGTGTAAATGAAGAGACACAGCTGGGCAATCCAACTAAGATGAAAGAAGGTGGAATGGACCACAGATGCTACTTCAGATTCTATTAATAATGCTGGGTCAAGAAGAACTCCCAGACTATGAACCTCATCCTTAGCAGAAAGAGTTGTTGTTGTTTAGTCTTTAAGTCATGTCCGACTCTTCGTGACCCCATGGACCAGAGCACGCCAGGCCCTCCTGTCTTCCACTGCCTCTTGGAGTTGTGTCAAATTCATGTCGGTCGCTTCGATGACCCTGTCCAACCATCTCATCTTCTGTCGTCCCCTTCTCCTCCTGCCTTCACACTTTCCCAACATCAGCGTCTTTTCCAGGGAGTCTTCTCTTCTCATGAGATGGCCAAAGTATCAGCTTCAGGATCTGTCCTTCCAGTGAGCACTCACGGTTGAGCAGAAAGAGTAGCTGCCCCCAAAGTAGAGGGAGGCCCCCAATCTGCAAACAGTAGGGGCACCCACCTGCAGGACCTCTGTCTTGTCTGGGTCCTTTCCACTCTGCCATTTCAAGATGGATGGTAATTCGCTTGAAATGCTTGTAAAAGGTATTGTGAGCTGATGTGATATAATGAGCAACGACTGGAATTTGGGGTGGGGGTGGGGAACCTTCAGCTGAAATCCTTACCTAGCCATGAAGTTCACTATAGCAGAAGTAGGTTATACTTCACGAAAGCTCACCTGAAATAAACTGGTTGTCTTAAACATGCCACAATACTTTTTGGTTTGCGTTGTTTTGTTGTTGAAACTGACTACCATAGCTATAGTTTTGCAGTTTACTGGGTGATGGTGGGGTTGTTACTATTTTTCAGCATAACCAAATTCACAGGGTTATTGTGAGACTAAAATGAGGAGAATGGGGCAGGGAACTCTTGTAAATTTTTAAAAACATTTCAGAAAAGATTGTAGTAATGACAAGTGCCACAGTGTGGTGCTGTTACTCTGTTTAAGACTTCAGACTTGGTCATGCATTCTGTATTTGAAAAGGCTGACTTTTTTGGATGGCCATCTACAAATTTGATCTGCCACAAAGAAAAGGAGGTTCATGCTTTATTTTGTATGGGTAGCCTTTGCAATATTTATTACATAAATGTGGACAACTGGATCCTTCTTTTGGAAAGAAAAATGCAGTTCTGTAAGTGAGACTCGATCTAGATTTTTTTTCTACACAATTCTCAGCACCTTAATTCAGCTTAGTTCTGTGGATTCTCTGGAATGAGCATCAAGCTGGTACTGTATACAGTAGCTATGTTTCTAGTCTAGATTTGCTCTAAAGATAAAGCTACTGTACTTAATTTCTTTGGTTTATTTGTCAGGTTGTGGATTTTTTAAAAAGTTTTCCAGTGAGTCCCATATCATTGTTAGCAAAGATGTACAGGGGGGTTCTCGACCTATGGAATTAATCCGTATTGGAACAGGGTCCATAGGTCGAAAAGTCCGCAGGTCGAAAATGCATTCCCCATAGGAATGCACTGAAAACCAATTAATCCGTAACCCGCTCAAGAAACACCCACCCACACACACAAAATTAAATTTTTTAAAAAAAAATTAAC